GCAACAGCGTTAGCAGAATTTCCGTTTCAATGGTGCCCTTGGGTAATGGATCCCGTTGAACAATCCGGTTGAACAACTCTAGGACGATTCAGGAGAAGCTTCGTGCGGTAGCCCATGCGCACGAAGGCGTCACCAATGCACGACAGTTTGGCCACGAAAGTATATTTGTGCAGACCACAAGAAACAGATTGTGTTGCGGATCTTCTTAAATGCTCATCGTTTGCCTCTATTCCGGTGAGTGCATCTATCCCACCTCATCTTGCATGCACCAAAGACGTTGTGCGTGTAGTTGACTCGCAACTAAGCCCGTCTCAGACGCTCGACAAGCTCTCAATGGCCAGAGTATTTGCTATCTACTGGTGGAATCGAGTAGTAGACAACGCAAAGAGTAGCAACTGGGACAGTCATCGCAATGCTCGCCGGAACATCGTGCCCCTGTGAAATAAAAGCTTGGCCACTAATATGTAGGGTTCCATCATTAGCATCCCGTCCCCTCCAACATAGAAATTGTTGGTTTTTTAACCATGTTGCTGATAGGTGTAAGTGTGAAATACAGTGTTGCACTCGTGTTCAGAGTCACTCACACGCTGACTGCACGGTCCAAGCTGAGAAGTGCTGCTTGTGTGAGCGTGCTCACACAGCGGATAATTGTAGTTGTCCCGTTCACATTCAAGAGAAGCAACTGGTGGATGTAATGGGCAGGAGACGATGCTCAATGAGAGAAGCAATGGCAGTTATCAAGGAAAGGGCCCAAAGTCACGCTGGGATTACCGCTCGACAAAATGCAATGGGAGATGCAAGTTTTGCCAAAACGATTGAGGCCGCAGTAGAAACGTCGGTGTCAAAAGCAGTGGACATGTTACTTACAAGCCGCTCAGGATGCTTGTATCAGATAAAGACCGCTCAGTAACTCGGCTGATAAATAACGCAGTACCTCCTCCTCAGGAAAGCATTACGTTGATAACTCAGCAGGCGCAATATGCAGCATGAGTGACGATAGGTTGCCCCCATATATGCAGATTAATAAGCCTACAACGAGAGAACGTCAACTCCCTACTGTAGATCTGAGTGTCAACACTGACGTTGAAATCAATTCGCCTGCCCAGAAACGTAGCTTATGACCCTTAACGTCTTCTTCCTTGTCGTCACACACAAAAGCAAAAAAGGCTCTGCCTAAGAAGATCGCCAAGGCCAGTATACTAAAGAAGGTTGTTTCTACTGTTGGTATTTCCCACAATTGAGCTGTTTAAAGTCTTACCCTGGGATTACTGTTTCATTTTTTCAGTTTCTACATACTTGTCTCATTAGTGAAAAAAAACCTGATATAAAGGTGTTACAAGAAACTTAGTTTGGTCCAAATCAATGTTTTCATTTAAAAAGTATGTCTAGATCAAATTCTATGTCTACATCAAATTTCAAGAAAGGTCGGATAAGGTATAAATTCGTTTCTATAAAAATAGGAAGAACGTTTTTACCATATACGCGGATTGAATGATCACGAGTGTGGCGAAGCGTACGTCAGTTCGTCCATCTGTCCGTCCGATTTATGCCCTAGTGTGATAGAAGTCGGTGGACGAACAGACAGGCAGACAGACATACAGATGGATGGACGGGCGGACGGACGAACATGTGTTTCGCCCCACTCATTATTCACCTTGTGGACATAGTATGAATTTTCTTCCCATATATTGTTATGCGTGCTTATCACTATAAGCCAAATGAAAGGTTGATTTGATTTGTTAGGTTTAACGTCCCAAAACCACTGTTTGATTATGAGAGACGCCGTAGTGGAGGGCTTCGGAAATTTTGACCACCTGGGGTTCTTTAACGTGCACCCAAATCTGAGTACACGGGCCTACAACATTTCCGCCTCCATCGGAAATGCAGCCACCACAGCCGAGATTTGATCCCGCGACCTTCGGGTCAGCAGCCGAGTACCTTAGCCACTGGACCACCGTGGCGGGGCCAAATGAAAGGTGTAACGTTGCTTTGTACTAACAGTGTTTTTCTTTTTCGTGTGCTGAGCGCTGTGCAGATTGATACCTTTCTCAACAGAATGGGACTTGATGTGTTGTCACTGTGCCTGCCACACGTTATTTATATGTTTCCGTTGGATGCAGCAAATGTATAAGGCATTCTGTATACAATTATGTGGCGCCATCTGCCGAACTGGCATTGCTCGAACCCGTATATAATAAAACAAACCATTCAGCCAGCGTTCCTACGCTGCTAACCAACTCTGTATGAGTTGCAGCGGCTTCAGTAACATGGCTCTTGTACCATCTGCTTTGTGTTTGTACGCTCTATTTTTTTCTCATCAGCAACGTTGATACCAACGTTCTAATCTTCATAACTAACTTTGTTTCTTACTGACGGGGGCTGCCGTCGAGCGAGACCATGGCAGTTATGTTCGCGGTGTCCAATTCGTGCATATGTCTAATGCGCCAAAGAGCGTTCACCTATGCAAAAAAAAAGAAAAGAAAAACAGTGAGTCGTGACGTCATGGCGCGCTTAGCCTCGTCGGTGCATTGAACCCGCCATGGCATATTCAGCGCGAATGAAACTAGCTAGACGAAATATAGAGTAATATGACTTAAACATACAGTAATGAACTTGACAAGTCTGAACGTGCGTATGACCATGTTGAGATGTTTGAAGAGCGATGCAGTGAATGCGTACATGCCTTTTAGGGGCGTCAGGCGGGTGGCCACGTTATACCTAATTCAAGGGCTAACGTGATAAGAGCCTATGTAGGGCCTCGGTGATGTGCGCGTAAAAGCGGATCTCTGGGGGCAGCATTCGTTGTGGCGAGACGCATTTTGTCTTTTTCATTTGTGTCGAGAGGGGCTGTGTTCCTATTCTTAGACAGCACGTAGACAGTCTACGCAGACTGCTTAAAAGAAAGCACCAAGCCCACGCTGTCCGAGAATTGGAACACTTCTGGATGACTTTTACGTGACGATGCGCCACCTCGCGTCTAAAGATAAAGCCAAAATAAACAAACGTAAAAGTTGTATTTTCTGACTTATTTTGCGTTAAAATATGAAAAACTAAATAAACGTTACGCACATTGAGCGTCTGCTTGTGTGCAGATGACTGTTTCAGCGAGATCTGATCTATCTGAGTGATTCGCTGAGCTGAAATCTTGTTTAGACAGCAAAGTAGCATGCATCGTATTTGTCTACGATGTGGTCTTCTCGGAGCGGTCTATGTTGCCGGCTACGTGAGAATTGGAATGAGACTTAAGATGGCCGCCGTCCATTTAGCTGTCCATTTAGCCGTCTACGCTGAGTATTGGAACAAACCCACGCTTGAAAGCTGCGTGTGCAAATGACGTTGCCGAAGAAATACCGGAAACAGACGGCACACTGCTAGCCAGCTTCAGCCAATCAGTGCAGGCTGAATTAGACATACCCATGAATTGGACACCAGAGAATAGCTTCCCGTATGACTGGCCACACAACAACATTAAAGTAACATATAACGCATCTCTAAACTTCACCTCATACGGCTAAGCTTATATTTTTTCGTACCAAGCGTGCTCAAGAATGTGACTCACACTCGCTCACACATTTTCCATGCTATCCCTGGGTTCCCAATAAAAGGCACGGCAAATAAAGACGCTTGTCATTGCTACACCTGTGTCACTTCATTGCGGCACAAAGAGTGCATTGCTTGCCATGGTTGTGCATAACACACAGGAGACCTGAATTAATCTTATTCGTTGTTAAGTCAGAATGTTTTTTGTCTTAACATTGGCGAATCGCGGCGTACCAGTACCGTGAACACATGTTCTGTTAACTCTACTATGAACTGCAAGACGATGTACACCTAAGTAATTGGTGTGTTCAACATTGGGGGCGCACAAAAAACCAGGTACAGTTCATCACATAACTGTGGCGATAAGTCGATTGCTACCACATAAGCTCGGATGCATCTGAGGCATTTCAGCCCGGACGGTAGGTCACCAAGACGGTAGGGCAGGTTTGCACTAAGCTGAGATGCAGCACTGCGATCTATGAAAGCCTGTGTTACGAGCTTATGGCCTCCTTTCTTATATGTTGCCGCTGTCAATGTAGACATTACTCACTTTGTTTCAAAATAGAGAGATTAAGTTGCGCGTCCGCAGCAGTTGTATGTACGCGACCTGTCATTAAAAAAGACTATACACCTTTTCAAAAACACCATCCTGGGCGCCGCCATAGTCCTCTATGGGCTGTGCGAATTGGCGTGACCCCTCAAAAATGCAATGACAAGGCTGCACCCTTAACATTTGTACTCCCACGTGCAGCCCATCATGGCGGTGCTTTTTCCCTCCTGTGAAAAGCTGTATACTTGGCGACAGCTTTTCTTGGCACTGAAGGGTAAGCTACGGAGGCAGAGATTCTGCACATTTAGCACTATACGAAAAGTAGTTCATTTTGGCGCGCGTCTCGTAACGCTGTGGATAGTGACGGGAGGGGGGGGGGGGCACCATCAGCGTTTCATGTTTAGACACCGACGCCGCTCAGCGTTTGAGGCGCACGTAAAAAGGCGGTACTTTTTTACGCGTTCGAAAACGCGGAGTTATAACAGATAAATTAAGCGAAATACGAATATCTCACAGGTGTCAGCTGCGTCCTGTCTAAAATTGCTCCACGCAGAAAATGAAGAAATATTCATATTTAACATTGAAAATACGGGTGCTGTACTTCGAAAGTAGCTTCACTGGCGGTAGGATTCACGTGATTTGGCTCCATAGCTTTCTCTTCAGTGCCAAGAAAAGTTGTCGCCGAGTCTAATATACCGCATAGATGCTTCACATCAAAAATTTTTTGTATGAATCATCGTCCCTTTATATTACCCTTCAGTGTCTTGTTCAATATCTCGTAGTGGGTAACAGCGAAGAAGTAAGGTACAAGCAAGCAGGAACACGTCGTCATCGTCTTAGTTGTCCCGTAAAAATCAAGTCAGTGACGACAGCTCTTCAGCATTATACGTATGTGTCATATTATTTCACAATGTCAGGCAGCCCAAACCTTGCCGCCGTCCTGCTCGTCAGCGCTGCATGCTACGCCAGCAGGATCCTGGTGGACTGGCTTGCCCTGTGGGCTTACCCGTGGTGCGATCACCCGACCAAGTGCTTCGACTACGTCCAGGAACTGGACGCCAGCCTGGACCGTAGCGTAGACCCGTGCGACAACTTCTACGAGCACGTGTGCGCGCATTGGTCTCGCAGGTATGCCGCCTTCACCAGCAACCTCCACCTCCTCCACGCCCGAACAATGAGCTTCTTCCTCCACGAGCTAGAGCGGCCAGCTCCTCAGCATCAATCAAAGGCAGTGAAGCAGGTCGTCTCTGGGTACCAGGCTTGCCGGAAAGCTTTCAATGAGCTGCGAGAAGATGTCCAGGTGAATTATTGTTCATATAAGCAGGGGCATTTTGCCGGGCTAGTAAGTTCAGATCCATTGCTAGGAGTGCCTCAGGACATGGACCGAGAGAGCAGAAGGATGATGGTAAGAGAAAAGTGTGGCACTCAGCATACTGCTATTTGTCAAGTATGTTTATTCTTGAACGAGAATATATCAATTACGTCACCTGTGAATCGCTGTACCACTGTAGTTTTACGGATACACAATCATGAGTGTGATAAATAGCCAAAATTGCCTGATTTCGACAGTCAAAATCCTGTAGCATCAATCTAAGGGTCTGTGCACTCCATATAACCACACGCCATAGGAATTATTCTAGTGCCTGTCAGCACTGTGTGCGATAGTGCAATAGCCAAAGGAGGAAGGGAAGGGGTTTCATATTGCCTCCCTCGAATTTTTTGCGTATATATAACGAACATATGCACGAAATAATGGTTGAACGCCCCCCCCCCCTCTTCTTTTTTTGAAGTAAATTTCGGGCTACGCCCCTGGTATTCAAGGCAGCTTATCTATAGTTGATCTTTTAGCATGTCCTGCAACCTCACCACAATATTTTTTTTTTCGAACACAGGTTCTATTCGACATATTCAGCAAGTTCAGCGTCACGTGGCCAGCCCTGACGCTTCCGGAAAACTTCGACGTGATCGAGTACTTGCTCGGCATGTCATTAGACTACAACCTACCAACGCCCGTGTTGCTGACGCTAGAGCCGTACCTGAGGACGGACAAACGCTACGCCCTTTCTATGTACATAAAGCCCACTGGGAATCACGATCCGTTCGATCCGGAAAAGATAGCCGCTTGCATGCCGCTGGTAGCGCCTTCGATAAGCGGCGACACGGCGTTCAACCTCGGTGAAATCATCTTCTTCGTGTACCTGGACTTGATCTACCACATCGAGGCGTTCACCAGTCTCGATGTAATGATCCCCAGCTACACCACCATAGAGGCCCTGGCTGATGACGTCAAAGATCAAGCACCGTTGGACTCCTTGCTCAACGCCATCAACAGGCACCTGCCGCAGCACAAGTCCGTTAACAAGGACGAGGAGGTGCTGACCTTGAAAAACACAGGTCTCGTGCTCAAGGAGTTGCTCAGATCTTCCAAGCAGGCGCACTACGTGGATCTGGTGCTGTTCAGTGGCTGGAACATTGTCACATCCATGAACTTCGGGATGTCGTCGTCCTTGTTGAGCTGCGTATCTGGGAAGTCGGCCTTCGGGAATTCCTTCCAGGCTGTGGCACGCTGCTTGCAAGCTGCGAATGAGGTGATTTGGTTTACGTTGCGTGTAGTAACCCGCTTGTGGATCTTGTTGAGTATCCGCTCGCATTATAGAAAGATAATTGGTGTACCAGCTGCTAATGTGGTTGCTTCGGCATGTTGGTACAAAACTTTGGAGAGAATCAGCGCGATAGGTGATCGACCAGGCAGAGAACGACGTATACAACAGCACTGTTGCGTGTGTCCTTCTTTGCCTGGTGTTTCGTCTTTCACGCTGTTTCCCTCCAGTATTCATCTAATAATAATAGTTTTATGATCTGGGTTTTAACGCTCCAAAAGAACAATCAAAAATTATGAGACACTGTAGTGGAGGGCTCCGGAAACTTCGAACACCTCGGGCTCTTTGACGTGCGCCACAGTCTAAGCAGATGGGCTTCAAACATTTTCACCCCCCTCGAAAATTCAGCCGCCTCTGTCTCGATTTGATTACGTGACCTTAGGACATATAGATGCGCTCCATAACCACTAGACCACCGCGGCATGGCTTTCGTATTAATCTATGCAGTGGTCAAGTATTGCACCAGGGTAGACAGTGCTTTTATCGTGAGTGAGTGCATTACTGTATGTGGTCACCCGTATACGAGACTACATCTAGGCTTCTTTTCATGAAGTTCTACCATCACGTTTCTTTTTTTTTTTTTATCTGGTGGTGAATCGCGCGGCATCGCGACTCCAACCGCGAATCTCTTGTGTGCAAGCCTGACACCCCGCTACGCCAAATTGACAAAATAACGTCCCTTATGGTACCCATGGCTTCGCTTTATGTTGGCATGACATGGTTGCATATAACCCCCAAACCAATCTGGCACAACTCCTCTTATGCGGATAGTTTCGGTTTTGCATGCGCAGTTCACGCTGAATCTTCACGTCATGGCCCAGCAGGAGATCACGTCGGCCCAGCACGCACCGGCTTGCTCATCCGTTTCTAATACCATTACTGACTTCGTGGACCAATCTAGGAGATTAGAGGATGATCGAGTAAACCGAAACGCTCATAAATTTAAACGTTGCGGTGTTTTAATGTTTTATGATCCCACCTTAAGCCATGACGTCCTGATACAGCACTTAGTTTCTAAGCAGTAAATCAAAAATTCGCTGTACCGTGCTGTTGTATTAGGTCTTTTTGGTATTTCAAACTTCGCAGCACTCTATCAACGCCTGTGAAGACCCGGATTCTGTACTTTAGCGTTGAAAATTAACTTTAGATAAACGCTCGAGCACTTTCTAAACACTACCAGGCCTTTCAAACAGGTGCCACTAATAGGTGCAATATACGCCACTTGCAGGCTCTGCCGTTGTTCATCGTGTGATCTTGACGTGTACCCAGTGGCGTAGCCAGAAATGTTTTTCAGCTTCAGTTTCAGTTTCAGTTTATTATTCATTTCAAAAAAAAGTAGTACAGTAATATTAATATACAGACGGGGGTCCCAAAGTTAAAAACTGTAACGGGACCCCCGACGAGGGTCCCGAAGTTAAAAACTGTAACGGGACCCTCGATTCATTATAACAATCAATAAATCAGATCAAGTTAACAAGCAACGAGTGAATGGAAATCAATTATACAATACAGAGTGATAAGTAATTATTATAGGCTCAGTGACACATCAGGCAACAAAAAGCAAGGCAAATAAGAAAAGAAAAAATAAAGAACGAAAAAAAAAACATCTCGTTCAGTGGCGGACATTGTCAATCGAAATGCAATGATCTAAATGGCATAACTAAAAACGCAAAGCCCCCAAAATGCACATATACAGGTAGCTAATAATTTAACAGAAAGCTTTTAAGCGACTTTTTGAATGATGACAATGTGGGCATCGTTTTAACAGAAAGAGGCATGTTATTCCAAAAAGTAATGGCCGCATAGGCAGTGGTCATTTTTCCATAATTTGTGCGCGACTCGGGTAGCAAAAAGTTAAGGTTCATTGCAAATCTGGTTACATTGTTGTTTTGTAAGAAAACTGAATCAATGAACTCAAACGGTAGCAGTGCATTGCGCAATTGAAACAGAAGAACGGCTATGCTATAAAAAAATAACTTACGAACAGGTAGGATTTTGTTGTCTTGGAGTAGATGGCCTGCACTGGAGTATCGTGAGCTATTAGTGATAATGCGGATCACCTGATTTTGTATGTTCTGAATGGGTGATAGATGACAGTCATACGTGTTTCCCCAAGCAGCGATACCATACATTATATGGGAATGAATGAAGGCGAAATACAGAGTCATAAGTACGTTTATATGAAAAACTTCACGAGCTTTTATTATAGCCCGAATTCCGAATGCAGTTTTCTTTCTGAGGTGATCAGTGTGGAGATTAAACTTTAAATGGCAGTCAAGATGTACACCAAGAAAAATTACAGTATCACAGGTGGGTATAGAGTGAGGACCTAGGGTTAAGGGTTGATGAAAAGGCAATGGCCTTTGAGCGGACCTAAATATCATAAACTTGGTTTTGGCTGGGTTAATAATAAGTTGGTTCTCGTAGCACCATTTACTAATATCTAGAAGTGTGTTATTCAAGTGTAAAGTAAGAGCAGTTAGAGAGTCCTCAGCTGCAGTTATAGTCGTGTCGTCGGCGTATAACACGCAGTGAGTTGATTTAATTGCATCGACAAGATCATTAATATAAATAATAAATAATAAAGGGCCCAAAATAGACCCCTGGGGCACGCCTTGATTGATTAGCTTAGTTTCAGAAGAAGCGCCTGATACGTACACCGAGCATTCTCTATTGTGCAGATAATTTTTCAGGAAGGTTAATGGAGCTCCAGTTACCCCATAGGCCTCCAATTTGTTAAACAGTGTGGCATGATTAATGGTGTCAAAGGCCTTGGTGAAATCTAGGAAGACAGATCCAACGAATTTACCAGAGTCAATCGATTTTTTTTAAGTAATCTAATAATGAAACTAGTGCTAAACTTGTCGAACTGCCTGAACGAAAGCCAAATTGACACGGATGAAGTATATTAAATTTGCTTAGGTAATTACTTAAACGATCAACGAACATTTTTTCAATAACTTTGCTGAGGGAAGAAAGAATTGATATGGGCCGATAATTAGAAACTGTTCTTTTGTCACCCTTTTTGAATACCGGAACTATTTTAGATTTCTTTAACAGTTTAGGAAATACGCCTTGCTGAAACATTAGATTAATGATATCACTAAGTATCCCAGGAATATTACGCGCAACCAGTTTTAAGTGATACGCAGAAATATTGTCAAGACCTGCGCATTTATTTTTTAGATTAAAGAGAACTGAGCATACTTCGTCAGTGGTTACGGGCAAAAGAAAAAATGAAGAAGCGACCCGAGAAACGGAACATTTTGGTATGCCCGATTGTGTAGTAGGAATGCTAGAAAAAAAATTGCTGAAAGCATTTGCAATAGAAATTGGCTGTTGCAAAGAAATATTATTATATATTATTTCAGATAATATATAATATTATCGGGGGGCACTTGTTTGATAAGGGAGGCACCGCATTGAAATGGTAATTTTTCGCGCTCTATATATGGCGAAAAAAGTTTGGGGAGTGGAAGAAATGTAGGCTTGTCGGCGGGGCATGAGTAAACTTTGTCGCTACGAATGGAAGAGTCACACCAACTTTCAAACTCGAGATGTGGCGTTCATTCGACTGCTTGGTACCCACGAGTTTTTTTGTTTGTTTTTTTAGCAAAGTATAAGTCCCGGGCGTGAGGCAAAGACAGTTTTTGACGTGTTCACCAAGCCCCAAGGCCATGCCTCAGGGTTCTAGTGACGACGTGCGAAAAGCGATGACGTCGTCAATTTTAGTGTTGTCAACGTGGTGACTACATGTGGTGCCGTCTGGCGGTGATGCCTGGCTGCCTAGCAACGGCTTCACTTGCTTTGTTCCGCTCTGTTGGTGCAGTGCGTTTGAGTGAATGCAGCGTTTTCGTTGTACCACTTCAGTTTATTTGTCCTGGTGACATGAGCGCGAACGTGATTATCTGAAGCTATGGTCATCGCGAACAAGTACGCAATGCGTGGCTCAGGCGTGTATCTCCAGCTGCTTCATCACTGCTAGGTTCAGCGTCGATTACGGAGTCACTGCTCAGCAGAGGATCGTGCCGAAAATGATCCGCCATTCTACAAATTACCACGATTTCATACTTTTCAGTGTCTTTATAGTCGCTTGCGGACGCTGATGACGGCGGTGACGACGATGGGGTGGCGAAGACATGCGCGCCAAGCAGACGAAATGTCAACTGAAGGTCACGTCACTGTTTCCTCTGGCAACGTGATGCAATGGGGTGGGACTGCGGGAGGTGGCCGCTTGGCAGTGCTGAAAATTGGCGAGCATTGCACCCGTTTTAAATTGGGTTTTTTTACACTGGTCATACTAATCTATATTAGACATATTCCTCCCTCTGTTTTATTTCTTTTAACCAAATCATTCAAGGGGATGGATAAGTACGCGTTGACGCAAAAAACGCGACATGCGTCAAGTTGATGTCACTGCTTCTTTAAGTCTGTGCAGTATGAAACAGTTTCGTGCACAGTTGCCAGTTCACAGCCAATAAAAAAACATACTATAGTCGTAAATTTTGTAATAAGAAATTGTATAATGCACATATTTCAGTTCACCACTAATTGCAAAAATATCAAAGGCGAGACAATCGACACGTGCGCTTTATCCGAGTTACTCTTTTTATCAAATATTTATAATTCTGTATCCACGTTCAACAGCATGTGCGAGCTCAGTGCATATTATTCAAATCGAATAAGTTATTGTCCAGAATGCACGCTAGTTAGTCGCACGGGTGCAAAAGCTACGTAAGCAGCTTGACGCATTACAAAATGCCTAACACGGTCAAAAGGAGACACCGTGCTGAATAACAGCTCACGCAGCATATGAAAAAGTAATACTCTTAATTGATGGTTATGTTCCAAAAGCAACATATGGTAACAAGGGATGCTGCCCCGCCGCGGTGGTCTAGTGGCTAAGGTACTCGGCTGCTGACTATCAGGTCACGGGTTCGAATCCCGGCTGCGGCGGCTGCGTTTCTGATGGAGGCGGAAATGTTGTAGGCCCGTGTACTCAGATTTGGGTGCACGTTAAGAACCCCAGGTGGTCGAAATTTCCGGAGCCCTCCACTACGGCGTCTCTCATATTCATATGGTGGTTTTGGGACGTTAAACTCCACATATCAATCAAATCAACAATGGATGCTAGCTAAGTGAGGTGTGAGGCTAGTTGGTATAGCATGATTAACATAGGGCACTACAGTATTAGGAAAGAGAATATTGGGATGACACACGTCACGATGTCGACACGAAGGCCGTGAACTCTCAACCAATTTTATTGAAGGAAAAATAATTCAAAACGCAATGGAGATTTGCGAAGGGGCCCGAGGGAGCCAGTCTTGTTGAACTGTCTTCTGGTTTTACACGTGGGGTGGATATGGGCTATGGCCATGTCTGAAACAAATTTGCCAAGTAGGCTGGCTAAATGACTAATGTTGTTTCTAGTTGGTTGTTGTACTACGCCTTTCTTAAAGAACGTTACCTTTAAGGCTGCTGCCACTGCTGTCTTGCTTCCCGCTATATTGTACGTGGCAGCTGTGTTTTGTTTTTACACTTCGAAGCAATGTCTGACATCTGTTTTTCTTGCCAGCTCACCCTGTCGGATGAATATGGTGCTGTCAAATTTTCTGAGTGTACCTGTACGTTTTCTGAGTGTACCTGACCGCTCGGTTCTCGTCTCTTCTAGCCCCTCCGGTCGTTTGCGCTGTTAAGCACTTTCTTCGTCTACCATGCAGCACCAACCAACCAAATCAAGTACTTTGTCAAACGCTATCGTTTTGGGAAGTTTGGCGGAATTTCGGGGATGTCCTACAAGAGAAAACCAGAAAGTACAAAAAAACTTGGCGTTGTGTAAGCCGTGAGAGTACCAAGAAATATAATCAAAGTGGAAAGGATTCCTCTGATGTGAATGTCGCTGCAGTTCTTGTGTAAACTCTAAAGTCGAGAAACTTTCTTCACCCATGGAAGAGGTTGAGGGTATCAAACAATCATTTATGTTCACGTCTAACACGTTTAATGAGCTGAAGAATAGGATCAGCGCCCAGGAAAGTGAAATAAAGATACTAAGAAATACAGTTTCTGAATTAGAAAGTAAAAACAGTATAATCACTCGCTGCAAGCTCAGAAGGAAATGCGCGATCTAGAGTACCAAAGTCGCCAACTAAACTTAGAAGTTCAGGAGTGCCTGCTGTGCAGGGCGAACAACCTTGTGTCAGTTCTAAACTAGGTCGTGGACAAGCTTGATGTCCCACCTCTTTCTCAGAAGGATATAGTCTGTGCCCATAGGCTGCCTAGACGACAGGATAACATTCCAGCAATCACTATTCGGTTTTCCGGACAGTTAATCAAGGATCTCTGGATGAGAAATAAAAGTGAGCTGAAGAATACACAGCCACGCATGTTCATCCAGAATAATCTAAACCGGCACAGCAGGCAACTCTTTAGAGCATGAAATGATTGGGCATGAGAAAACAGCTTTACGTTTGCATGGTATGAGCATAGAAAAGTGTTTCTCCTAAAATGTGAAAGGGCATGCCGAGTGCGTGTTCAATATTCAGATGACCTTATCAGTTTGCGACTACGCTAAACTGCATGCCATGTTATGTTCACACAAGAATTCACAACACGATGGCTGTGAAAGAATGTTACCCAGTGCGTGTGAACTCAACAAAAATTATGTTGATTTATTTATTTATTTATTTATTTATTTATTTATTTATTTATTTATTGATTGATTGATTGACTGATTGATTGATTGATTGATTGATTGATTGATTGATTGATTGATTGATTGATTGATTGATTGATTGATTGATTGATTGATTGATTGATTGATTATTTCATTAGTCAACAAATTTGGTTTATAGTTCGCGCTTGTCACGTCAACATCTTAACGTGTGTCCTCCCTAAGCTCTTTTGTCCCGGTCTCTGTAGCGCAACATTTTCATCATAATGAGGGACGTCGGAGTGGAGGGCTCTGGGTATTACATAGTGTTTTTTTTTAAGTGCGCCTCTATCCACACACATGGACCTCTGCCTTTCGCTCCCATCGATGTGCGACAGCCGCGTCCGACATTCAATCTTGCAAACCTTCAGGTAGGCACCCAAGCACCATAGCCACTAGACCACGGAGACACGTGAAGCATAAGTAGTGCTTCTCGCGTGATTGTAATCATAGCTAATGGGCAACTATTATCACGTATGACCAAATGAGCCCTTGGGTTTTCCACTTATTTAGGTCATTCTGATGTGATATGACATTTGTGACACACTGAACCGCAGGTGGCCGGCTACGCCTTAGCCCGCTTTTTCGTCGACAGCATGGAGCAGGCAGAGGCAGTGCGCAACACGACAGACACGTGGAATGCCCTGCGCGATGCCACGGAGCGCAACTTCGCCACTCTGTCATGGATGGACGAGTCCACCGCAGCGGGTGCCATGGGTCACGTAGGTGATCTCGTTCCCATCATACCCTTGCCGGCGCACCTCAACAGTACTGAGGCCCTAGACGCCTTCTACGACTACCTGGTAGAGGACCAGTCGCTGCCCTTCTTCCAGTGGTACATCCGGTCTAGGCAGCAGAGATCAGACAAGTACAAGCGCCTCATTCGCGAAGACCCAAAGGTGACAGTGTACCGCGAAGACATACCGCTCAGCTCGACGGACGTGAACGCCTTCTACCTGCCGCTATTCCACATCATGGCCATACTGCCGGCCATCATGGTTCCACCGTTCGTGCCCAACGGGGTAGCTCGAATGGTGACCTACGGATCCATCGGCAAGATCCTAGGTCACGAGCTGTCGCATGCGTTCGATCCGCAGCTTAGTTCTCTTACCAGGACCGGTGACACCGCGAGCTGGTGGTCGAAGCAGTCTTTCGAGATCTTCCTTGAGAAGCAGCGCTGCGTGGATTCTCAGCTAGCCAACTACACGGACAGCGAGGTACACGCTTTCAACGTGCTCTCGGAGGCATTCGCGGACACCGCCGGCGCCGAGAAAGCCCGGCTGGCGTACGCCACTCTTCCGACGCAGCAGGGAGCGCTCGGCTACTCGCCGGAGCAACTATTCTTCGTAGCGGGCTGCTTCGTGTTTTGCGCGAAGAATGCGTACTCGTGGGAAACCGAGGACAAGTACCCGGCGTACGCGCTGCGTTGCAACATGCCGGTTTCCAATCAGAAGCACTTTGCGGAAGCCTTCGGCTGTCCCTCTGACGCAGCCCTCAACCCATCGACGCGTTGTACCTTTCATTATTGACTTGGACTGTGCGAAATTTATCACCAATAATACGCTCCGGTCATCGACAAACTTTTTTGCGCTATTTGTCCTAGAATATAGTTACGGGACTACCAAATAATAGGGCTTAATTACGTTATCTATAACTTGAGCTACTTATTGCAGCTGGAATGAACTCTTCTTGTTTTATGACTATTGCGCGGAATACTTGCGAATCATTGTCCTTTAATGATTTTCCTGCGTGGTTTCATACAAACCACATTCTCGCGATGTTCAAGGTGCATGACTTATTCTTCCAAGTAGGGCGAGGTCCCACGCAGCCAATTTTTCAAAAAGTAGGTGTCATCCAAGGCGTGTTGCGGCTTTGTTCTTCCCAACAACTGGCCGTCGGGCAAGGGGGATTGTGCACCACCCAAAGCCGCAGTGGATGCTCGGTCATTTCACAACAGTTATTCGAAGACCTGCATCGAAAAGAAAAAAATTTTGAAGAATCTAGTTGTTCAAATCACTTATGATGAAGTTGATCATCCCTACACCTTTTTCTAGGCCTGCCTACGTAATGGTTTTTTCATTAAACTCTCCGAATATGTCCACATCGGCCGGCATAACAGGAAGGTTCTCGAATGTGGTAGTTTTCTGAAGTTCAAAAATAACATCGCGGCACCTTCTTACTACCAGAAAGTTTTTTTTTACGTGGCCCTAGGAATTTGCCGCAAACCTAAACTTCAATTTTGTGAACATTGATTTTTTGAAGATGCCCGAGCATATAACTGTTAATCTTAGTTTTAAAATTTTACAGTAAAGTAAGTTTAAAAATGGAGCACTTTAGAGGCTCAGTTGGTCGTCGTCTTATGTCGCATTTAGACGAAATGTCCTGTGCCAAGCAGTTACTACCATACCATGGATAATCATCTTTAGTTAGCGACTGTTTATTCATTTGAAAAAATAGAATAAATAAAAGAAGAATGTTGGCCGAGAAATGGGGGAGAAGGGCATGACAAGTGTCTCCGTGAGAACATTTAACCGAAACACTTACGGGGAATGGGGATGAAAGAGGCAGGGAGAGAGAAAAGAAAACGACAGGACAATTAAAAAGAAAGATGGAGAAAAAAATTTTACTCTCAAATAGAAGTGTTGGATAACCGTGCGAGTAGCTTGGAAAAGCCGCGCTATTACGTTGAATCTTCAAGGAAGGCCAGTAGGGACGAAAGCGCAACGCCACTGCCTTCCTCGTAGCCAGTAGAGTGGAGCAAGTCCTGGAGGGTCACCCAGTGTAGCCCGACGCGAAGGTATGCCGTGAGAAGGCACCAAAATGGGAGCTGCCGAGTGCAGCTTTCTCCACCAAGCGAGAGAACCACTCGACCACATCAGCACACAAAGTGTGCATGGAGACATCCTTCGAACAGGAAAACTGTGTCGCCAAACACAGAACGTTACTAAGTGGCGCTAAAGATAGCTAGAAATTCACGCACGGACATGCATCACACAGCCGCATATGTTTTTTTATAACTAGTTGCGTACAGTTACGTAACCATGTCTACAGCAGCATGGATGTTATACAGGCGGACAACTTTTCTTCCCATTCAAGAGAAGGCTACGGAGCAAAGCCGGGGTGTGCTACCGCTGGAGAATATCATGAGTCCCACGATTGCGTCCCCATTTTACACGTGAATATCATGAAAAACGACACCACTTTATTTTCTACGGGATGTTGTTCATAAGGAGACGCAGCGTACACCAACGACATATCCGTAATTATTTTGCTTCATGTGGTGTCCTTTTGCCTTTTGGCAGTTGTGAAAACGTCGCTCCTTTAACATACCCCTCACTGTCCAAATGGCATCTTCATCTTCTAGTGGCGCTCTTCACCATCCAGCTATTTCGATGACTCGCCCGAAACGCTTGTGAGGAATTCCACTCACGAATAGCTCTCTAAGCAGATATAGGTAATTGAATGTAGCGCTGTTATCTAAACACGGCCGTCATTCGAAATACTTGGCGGAGAAGTGCATGTGCGGTATAGCTCCGCCCCCGTAGTTTTCTCTTCATTGCCAAAAAAAGGTTGTCCAGTAGTATAGCAACACCAGAAGCGGTAAGCTTATGCTGCGAGGAGCTGTTGCTACAAGTTAAACGTTTTTAGGCATTACAGAACGCACGTCGGAATGCTTGCCTCGAACTCGATGTCTTGCGATGCTCGCCTGCATTTAAATTGCCAGTTGCAGCATGCCGAAATAAATGGAACATCTTTTGCATTGTGCCCGCATTTCGTTTTCTTGAGCTTCCTAACTTTATGAAGCGAGGTTGGATCGAAGTAGTAAGCTTGCCAGGTTCTTGATTTTCAGAAAACCGCACCTCAAGATCAACGAAACAGGAGGGCCTATGCACATTCGCTTGCGGACGGCTCTCTGTCAACTACCCATTTATGACCGGCGCGGCGATGGGGGCGCTGATGGTGGCGTTTTTCGCAGCGCTGCCTGGGTAGAGTCTGACGTCCATATGGCGTCCTGATTGATTGCGGGACGCTAAACCCACAGACGAACCAACAAATCATTTACTGTGGGTGTCCCTCGCACCCCCAACGAGTGTAATGTTGAAACTTTTTCGGGTCACATAGTGCTCCAAGTGCGTCTTAGTGTTACTAGTTTTCCTTAGTGAGCCTTCGATTGGAGGCAAAGTACTTGAGAAATTCAGTCATCAATACTCGTTTTTGTGTGTTTTCTCGTCGGGAGCAATTGTCTTTTATTATAGAAGTAACGTAAAGTTTTCACCAACATATCGAAACCACTTGATCTCTAAGTGGGCACTATCAGAAAAGAGCATCTTTCCGCCATCTTGGCAGTGGCAAAACACGGCTTCACTTCTGCTAGCAAGGCATTGCGGGAGCTTCCACTGCAGCAATTTTTTTAATCCTCCTTGCTTCAACCATTATTTCTTATTGTCATCAGCCACTGCATGAACAATTGGCACGAAATTCCTTGCAAGTGTTTAGCGGATAGCACGCTTCTCAGACGAACGAAGAAAGATAACATAGCGAATGCCGGCTGACTACACAAAAGTTTCTTATTAATGCCCTAACGGGTACCAAGCAAGTGGGATTGCAGTATTTACCCAATTAGCGTTTGGATAAGGCTCTGAAAGGCCACTCTTCTAGCTTTCGCTGTGTCTGTGCTGCGCCTTCCACGCAGGCCTGGCGTATTTTTTTAGAGCAGGTGGCGCTTGAAACGCAAGGACCTTTTAGGAAGTATGGCCATTCAAGGATCACTAATGCACACGAACAACGTCCAGCATGGACCCGCATGGCTGCTGAGGAAATGGTGTAATAGCGCCCTTCATTAGAGTTTGATAGTGTAACATCCTATATTTAAAATTTTAACTGTGTAATAATACCTTTTTGATTTAGAGCTGTGATAACACGTTTTTTTTAGTGTTGTAAGGGTGTAATGACATTCATATTTAAGTGTGTTTGGTTATTGAAACACCGTTTTGAAAAAAGGGTGTTTCGATGCGTCAAAACACCCATTAAATGAGTACTTTGCTTTATCAAAACACTTTATCATAGGGTGCAAGAGTGTAAGTTAAAAGACGGCAAAACACCCTTAAGGGTGTAGACTGGTTTTCTGTGTAGAACTTACGTTACTTCGCTGCAGAATTGGGCTAAACTATATTTGTATATGAAAAGCGAAATGTAACGTTGTTGTAATGACGCGTTCTTTTTTTAGAAAGTTAATGGTAACGCGTTACTTTCACATTACATGAGCCTGTAACGGAAAATAATTTGTTACAAGCTTAGAACAAAACGAGAAAGGCGCTTCTGTTTCTGTTGTGGAGAAACGGCTTCAACACTGTTACTTGAGATTGTCACGGGGTCGGGACGCGGACGAAAGGAGCAGACTGGGTGTTCAGGTTAAACTGTTTATTGGGCTGAACTTGTGGCCACCTAAAAGAAAAGCCAGATTAGAGCGAGACACTGATATCGCGGTGAACAGAGCGTCGGCAATCGATCAACTGGCGAACGCTGAAGCACGTCAGCATTTACACAGGCGCCGTCGAATATTCTACCACTATCGCTAGCAACCACGTCGGTTTCAAAATGATATTGATATGTGGGGTTTACCGTACCAAAACCACCAGTATGATTATGAGAGACGCCGTAGTGGAGGGCTTCGGAAATTTCGACCACCTGGGGTTCTTTAACGTGCACCCAAACCAGAGCACACGGGCCTACAACATTTCCGCCTCCATCGAAAATGCAGCCACCGCAGCCGGGATACGAACCCGCGACCGGCGGGTCAGCAGCTCGGTTCCAGAATAATCTGTAATGTTCGCGTTGTGGGCTTAATGTTAACTAAATCATCTATGACAGCCCTGAAGCTTTTCGAATACTGCAGGTGCGGTTTTCGCTGAGAATTACAGTGCAACGGGGCGACAATTAAACTTGAGGAAGGAATGTGACAATATTGATGAGTTGACCTCTACTATGATGCGCTTAGATGTTGACGCTTCTCAGGAGAGTCTGTAACCGTCAAAATTGCACGTTGAGAGCTATATTTCTTTCCACAAACTGCACAATCGAAACTCTATAGAGGCGCGTGTACACCCGTAGACAAAATAAGTCAAGACGCGTGAGCGGTGACCACAATCGAATAACTTCGCTGGCACGCGGTCAGACACTGAGCGTCTAATGACGACATCAGGGAGAACACGCGGCTAATCAACCTCACAGACATGCCTTTGTTCTTGATTGTAGCTACTAACTCATTACAAGTACCGTTTTCCGATTGGGCCGCTTTTCTTGTTGAATTTGTGATGCACTCAGTCCGACTGGGGTGCAATTGGCGTGATGAGTATGCAGCTCACTTTACCCGATTAATAATATAACATATTTTGTATGAGTGACAAACTGGTGCCACATATGCACAGTTTGGCACTGGCCTCTTCTGTGGATGTTTTTTTTTTGTGGGGGGGGGGGGGGAGGGGGTAAACCTGTCGGGTGCAATTGAAATACGATTGAGGGTACCGAAGACAAAAAGGGGT